GCGGCTCCAAAGAGGCTGCGATTAGCCCGCACGACCCGCCATATGCTTAGAGGGCGGCGACTCGCGCGAGCGACGCGTCGAGCTCGCGCCTCACCTAATGAACTGTGGGGGGGGGGGGGGGGTGCAACACCACATCGGGTGCACCGAGGTGGGCAGTGTGTGGCGCAATCCTCGCCGCCCGCCGAGCCGCGCCGAGATCTAGGCCGAGGGCATCGCCGAGATCTAGCAACGATCTACCACCGAGAGAGCCGAGAGAGAGCCTCAACCTAGCCCTCGCCTGCCGAGACGCGGACTCTGCCGCTTCGGCCGCCCGGCTGGCCGCCTCCGCACGCATGCCCTCCGCCTTTGCGCGAGCCTTGTACGCCTTCCCCGCCGCCGCCATCTGGACCGCCTGCGCGCGGGTGGGCTGACTCATGAGTGGAGATGACCTGGACCGCCTGAGCGCGGCTGGCCGAATGGAGTAGTAGTATCAGCTCAAATGCACTCGGTAGAACAGGATTCATGTCGACGGTTCGTGGATTCGAATTAATTGCTACTCAGCCAGCTTCTCTGGAAGGCCTGTGCGCGGCTCGACTCGGCGGCCTTAACCAGCTGCAGCCCTGTGGGGAGGGAGGTGGGGAGGGAGGTGGCGGGAGAGGGGAGGGGCCTCGCGCGCGCAGCATGTGGACAGAGTCGTCGTCGCCCAAATCAGGAGGGTCTTGCGCGGTGCAGCGCGTGAGCGGAGCAAGCAACAAATGAGCTAACGTGGCGGCCTCGTGCGCGCAGCATGTGAGCGAGCGTTGTAGCGCTCGCATTCGGCGGCGGCGGCTCACGGCCGCTGATGACCAGAAACTCGACCACGGTGGTCCGCAGCACGCCGGCATCGGCGGCGGAGGCAGCCGCTGCCTTGGCCGCACCCACAGCCGCCTTTGCGGTCGAGCGGAGTGTGCCTGTGCTGCTGAAAACACGTGCTGAATACACCAGCCTCGGGGCGGGAGCAAGAGATGTTGAGCACGGTGCGAACACGAGTCACACGAATACAGCTGAATGCCGCTGACTACGGCCGAAGAGAGCGGCATCCGTGTGCTCTCGAGTGCCGGTTGGAAGACAAAACGCGTACTCCGCTTCTCTAGGGGCGTGTACCTCCTGCAGCGGCGCCCTTCTCGGACAGCTCGCTCGCGGCGGCCTTTGCCAGCCCCGCCGCATCCGTGGCGGCCGACTTGAGCTGCGGGAGGGAGACGTGTCTGCTGTGAAGCGGGGGCAGAAGGGAGCGTGCGGAGAGGAGCTTGGAAGCGCGCCTCGCTGCCCACCCGGCCGAGCCCCTCCATGAGGCCCGAGGAGCCCAGCCACGATGAGCCGATCCCGGCCACCGAGCCAAACGTAGTCTGCGGCTGCGCGTCTGCCTCGGCCGCCTCAGCCGCAGACTCCTCCGCCGCTGCATCCGCTATTGCGGCAGCGTCCGCCGCGTCTGCCGCCGCATCCGCCTGCGCCGCCTCGCTCTCGGCAAGACTTGCCGCGGCGGCAGCATCCGCTGCCAACTTCTCGAGCTCGACCAGCTCCGACTCAGGCGAGGACAGCGCCGCCATTTGTTTTTTGCGCGTTGTACGCAACGCGCGACCAAACAAAGCGCGCGCCGAAGGTTCGGACTTTCAATGGGTAGGGAAGGTTGGGGAGGTTCTCGAGGTGGAGTGTGTGCCGCCGAGGCGGGACCACTCGGGGACAGTGCTGACGGGACGCGGCTTGGGAGACGACTCCCGCGAAAGCACGGCTGGCATCCGTGGCGTGGGGCTCGCCTCCGAATAGTCGGGCATGGCTGGCTGGCTCTCCCCGCAACTCTCTTGCTAACACGCGCGCCCCACCGAGACTGGGGTGGGCGCGCTGCGGCCGCACGTCTACCTCCGTCATAGTGCCACGACGTGCGGCCTAGATTTAGCACACGCGCCTCAGCTCGCGAACACTCATACATTGGATTGCCATCGCCTGTGAGTGCGAGAAGGGCTCTAGCTGCAGGCAGCTAGCCCATGAGGAGAGCGTCCATAGACACCTCACTAGACCCCACATACGGTCTCGTCCGGGCCTCGCAGGCCGGTGAGATTGCTGGAGGTAGAGCAAGCCTGCTCTAGCCTCGCATGTCACTTACTGTCGTCTGTTGTTTGAGTTGTGCCCTTGTTTGTGCCCTTGGCACCGTGGAGTGCTGGGGGGGGCGACAGGAAGGATGTGGCCCTGAGTTATGTGTACGCCGACTCAGGGTGTGTGGCAGCCAGCTGGCTGTGTGTCTTGTGAGCTTGTTTGTGTCTGTGTGTCGCTCGTGCGTGTCGTCATCATCTGTCCAGCGTCCACCCATACCGCGTTGGTGTCCAGTCCGAGCCTGGCTGTTCTTCACCTTACTACCTACCTACCTACCTACCGGTGGATATCCTTTGGCCGCGTTGGGTAGCGAGGATTGGTGTAACCCGAGCCACGGAGGCGTGTTTTCTGGCGGCCGACCGTCAGTGCACGGAGTTGCCACTTCTCCGACTGCCCCGGCTAGTTCCCGAGGTCGTCGGGTGTGACCCCTTCGTCCCCCGAGACCTAGCGCCTCGCCTGAGCTGGAAGGAGAAGAAAGGCCCAACCGCCGCCGCCGCTCACGCCTCCGCCGCCTTCCATCTCGCCCACGCCTCCGCCGCCCTCCACCTCTCCCATGCCGCCCCCCCGCCCTCCACCTCGCCCACCCCTTTGCCACCACCCTCTCCTTCGCCGCCCCTCGCCCCTCGCCCCCACCGTCCTCCACCTCCACCCCTCGCCCTCCCCCCCGCCCTACCGAACCACCCACCGCCCGCCCATGCCGACCTCCGCCCTCCCGCCGCCCTCCCCCCTTTCTGCCCCTCCGCCTTCGCCATCCCCCATCTGTGCATCCACTCCGTTCGCTCCCTCCCGCTTGGCGCCCATCCCGCCCTCCGCCCTCGCCCTCCGCCCCTGCCCTGGCTGGCCTGGGTGGCATCTCCGCATCATCACGCGCCAAGTGGGAGGGAGGTGGACGGGGCCCTGAGCCGACCTAGCCCTAAACGGAATGGGGCGCCCAACACGTGCCCGGATTACTGTGCCTTCCCCGGGCACAGCCTTTCGGTTCGTGAAGGGTCGGTGCGTGTCATGACCCCCTGGAACACCCGTACCCCCGCACCATCTCCGTCGCTTGGTTCCATAACCTCTGCCACAACCGGGAGCGGCCAGGGCTCATAGACTCGGTCGAGAGACCCCAGATTGGCATCCATGCCTCTCTGGACAGGGTGGCCCGCCACAAGGACCCCAGGAATTGCGACTCGCCGCTTTCCTCCCGCTGTGATTCTGTGTGAGCTCTGTGTCTTGATTTGCCAACAATATACCTAAAACTTCAGCACTTGGAGCACTTGGAGTGCAGTCGGCAACCTCACATCCAGGGCCGGTGAGCTGAGAAGCGCATCCAGCGGGCCGGATGATCGGTATCGGGTTACGGGCTAGAGAGCCCTAGCCCCGGGGGTGCGCGTTCGCAGGGCAAGGGCCTTAAAGTAAACACGGGTCTCCGAGGGTTAGCTCCGCGCTCCAGGTTTCCCCTAGCAGCAGAACGCCCCCTCTACTCGGAGCTAGTAAACACTAACATGTTTTCTTTCTTTTTCTACTCGGAGCCAGTGAGACGAGAATACGCACATCTTACAAGAATACATACTGCCCCCACGGAGTACCTGCACTACTCGACGATAATACAAGAAGAATACGCAGCTTGGAAGTTGCAGACGCCTATAAAGAAAAAACAGCGAGCTAAATTTCGGCGGCTAAAAAGCAAAGGACGGGCGCTTTTGATCGGCAAAGCAAAGTTGGAGAAACGGCGACCGCGTCGCCACAATGCCAGTCGCCTGTCGAGCAGCCTTGGCGGCGCGCATGCGCCGCAGGGTTGACCGACAGCCGCACGCCTCGAGCCTCTCGCTCCACTCGCGGCACGACGCGCCCCGCGCGCCGGTCAGCGCAGCAGGAGTATTGCGACATGCTGCACAACGCCAGGGACAGCACTGAGAAGCTGGCGCCAGTCGCCCACCAGCATGTCTCAGCACCGGGTGAGGGAGCATGCTGCGCACGCTGAAGCAGCACGAGGTCACCACCAATCAAGCCCTCACGCCACTGCACGGCCGCCCTCGAGCACCAGCAGCCGCGCTGCGCCATTTGGCCAAAGTACAGGTTTCGATCCGGGCCACCGCAAATTTTGATCAGCAAATTTCGAGGGGCGGCCGCAAATTTTAGAGGCATCCGGCGAGAGGAAGGCGCGGAGGTCGTAGGCCGAGCAATTAGCGATGTAGAAGAGGACGTGCCCGTGGCAAAGTCGGCGCTTCGAGGGGTCCGAGCAAGAGGAGCAACAGCAGGCGAGAAAGAAACCCGCGAGCTCCCGCCGGACGCGCTCGACAAAAGCAGGGCTGGCCCGAAGGCGCGCAGCAAACTCGCGGACGCACTCCCTGCGCCCAAACGAGTCGCGGGGATCGCGAAGGGGGAAAGGGTTGCCCCAGGGAGACGAAGCGCACTGCGCGCCCAGGTCAAACCCGGACCTGAGTCGCGGGTGGACGCAGCCCTGGCAGCCGCCGCATCGCATGACGCTCCGCCACTCGCCGCCGCCTCGCGGCCCCGCCCGCCGCAGCTCGCTCTGGTTCCCCACCCGCCGAAGGGCCTCCCGGAGGACAACCACGTCGGCGTCGTCCAGACTGACGCCAAGCACGTCGCAGAGCTCCTCCTCGAGAGTGAGAAGGGGCTGGCAAGGAAGCGGGTGGCCAGCGCGGCGGCAGACGTCGCCTCGCAGCAGGTCGCCTGGCAGCTGCTCGCCTGGCAGCTGCTCGCCTCGCAGCTGCTCGCCTCGCAGCTGCTCGCCTCGCAGCTGCTCGCCTCGCAGCTGCTCGCCTCGCAGCTGCTCGCCTCGCAGCTGCTCGCCTCGCAGCTGCTCGCCTCGCAGCTGCTCGCCTCGCGGCGCGCCCGGCGGTCGAGCTGAAGCAGCAGCGCCAGGAGGGGCCTCCAGGTGCTCGCCGCCCCATCGCGGCGGCCGGCCGGCCGAGCTCTGCTGAAGCGTGCCCGGGATGCCTTTTGCATCCAGGCGTCGTTCTGCGGAGCGCGGCCCACCGGCCGGTGGCGCGCATGCCGAGCCAGAGTCCTCGCGACCGGTGCCAGCGGCAGCGGTCGCGCGCGGCTGTAGCCGCGTAGGAGCCCTGGGTCGGCCACCGTGGCCACTGCCCAAGGCAGCGGCCACCATGGCAGCGCGCTACGGCGTCTGAAAATGAAGAATTTAGACAAAACAACTAATAGAATTCTTCAAAGTTTTGCCGACTCGGCATACCGCCGTCGACATGCGCTTCCTCCTGCTCTCGGCAATCACGGAGAAGACAAAGACGCATCCCAACGAGAAGCGCGTCGACGCGCCGCTCGCGGAGGGGCTCCTCACCACCGTTCGGCTCGCCTACGGCGAGGAGGTTTGCGAGGCCGGCGGCAGTGTCTTCGATGACATCGGCGCGTTTTGCCAGGCGCGCGATCGTGCCGTCAGCGCCAAGAACTCCACCGCCAAGGAGGCGCAGGCCGCTGCGGTCACCTACGCCACCTACCTCGCGATCCTCACCGCTCTCGAGCGTCCTCTCGGTGATGCGTTGGGCGACATCGACGAGAAGTTCCTTCCCAAGCTGCCCTTCGGTTGGCGGTCGGCGCTGGAGAAGGATGCGGAGGCCAAGATGTCGCTGCTGCACCTCGAGCGGGGCGCGAGCGTAGACCCTCTATATCAGTGCGAGAGTAGGCGTCTGAGTGCGGCCCCCACGCCTTCAGGCGCCGCGCTGTGGAACCTGGCGATGGCAAACGCCTCGAGTGGCGCACTCCTGCCGCGCGACTCGGAGGAGGAGGTGAAGAAGGCGACGCGCCACTTCCAGGTCGCGGCCGGGGCGCTCGACGAGCTCGCCACGCTCGGCCTCGTGGTGAAGATAGCCGGGCGGGACTTGAGGCAGAACCCGGGGTCGATGGGCGGCTGTGAACAGCGTCTCTTCACACCTCTAGCTGTGAATAGGCAGAACCCGGGCTCGATGGGCGGCT